ATTTAAATATCAAATAGATCAATGCACTGCTCAAATGTATATTGCTATAAATCGTATCAAACATAGTTCATCGCCTAAAGCTCTTTCTCATTGTATGAAAACAAAGGTCTCTGGTGGGAATCGAACCCGCAATCTCTCGCTATCGATGAGAGCGTCATACCGTTTAGACCACACTGTTAGAGGCCCATAAGTTCTCATAACGGATATAAGACCACTTTTCTCACTCCCTTCACATCTTGAGGGCTTACACGCAAGATGCAGTGTGAAACGCCATGCGCTCTCGTGCGGTGGTCCGCAGTGCGACCGAACCTGAGGGCCCCGAAAGGGTCCCATCCATAGGGTCCTCGGTCTAGCACCCTGACCCAAAAGGGCTTGATACATGGCAACATAATGTGTCTCTGACATCGACTGTAGGACGTATATCATAATTAAGTCATCCAGTTCCGGATTAAAGAGGGCCCTCTCGGCCCGCCCCCCCCCCAAAAAAAATTTGTAACCATTTGTTTTTAAAATGGAGTGCCATTTTCAGCCGTCTAGAGGTGATATTATCATTAATTTTCTTACCTCAGCCCCAACTTGGTCGGACTGAGGTGGTATAGACCCTCCATTTGTGAAAGTCCCTCCTTGCTTCGCCCTTCCTCCCCCATCCAAATTCTTGGACCGCCGATATTAGATACGAGCACATCTAAAATCCCCCAACGGAATTGGTGAGGGCCTGTATAAAACATTTAGAAGACAATGACAAACATGATTAAAAAACGAGCATATCACAGAATTGGTGACTTCCCAAAAAGGGCCCCAGTCTCAGAAAGCCACAGGCCCCCCGCCCCATCGTTACGCCACTGCAATGGAGATAACTTAAATGAACATCTTAATAAATACAGTGTTTGTGTTATAGTTAATCATAACTTACCGTATATATATAGAGCGTTGATATCTGAGGCCTGTAAGCCAATATAGGCCTATGTTATGTTAATTAACAATCTGTCATGAAAAATATATTGGTTATTTTGAATTGACTCATTTACAAAATATGGGTGATTAATTTGAGGAAAAAATTTCATGATCAATCAAAAAACTTCGCGCAATCAATTTATTTCCTTCAGCCTATCACTACAAATCAGGTGTATGAAATTAAAATTTCCGATCGTAGCAGTGAATATAATATGAAGGCACAGGGTCGTTCGCACATGCGTGTATTACCACATTGCTTTCCTCACTGTTGGTCGATTATACCTGACGTTCCGGACAGTTGTAAATATTATATTTACAACTCTAAATTGAACTGTGGAGATGAACATATAAGCTTACCTGATACTTAGCTAAATATTGTCCCATAAGATTTTGTGCAAATCTTAAAAGTATAATTATCCCGAGAGTTAAATGCCGGCTACTTAATATCATTCAGTAGCCTTATCCACATTCAATTTACAGTGAATGGTATGGCCAAAGTTCGTATTTGCTATTGATATCTCTAGGCATGCACAGAAATATTGGTGCCCCCTAAAGTAATTCTACAGTGTGCACATTGTCGGAAGACACAAGTGTACGAGGCAAAAGGGTAGAGTGCTGTCGTTTTACCTAGCTTGGTTGTTGATAACGCGTTACTGACTGTATAATATAATTATGAATAAACGAGTAAAAAAGTATAAACAAATGTATTCTACATTATACTGGTAGTAGAGACGTGGAGGTATTAGGTGCCTGAATTTTAAAATACGAGACTAACCTACTGCGTGTTGTAGGCTATCGCCATAAAACGTGAGACGCTATCACGCAAGAATGTTTATTCAATATTATTGATATTGTATTGCTTTCATTATTTTTACTATTCATTTCCTTGGTAATAAAAATATATATAGTGTAGGCCCAAGTTGTGAGTTGTGTGTTGGGTAGGTTATTATATCATATGTTTTAACATAGTTTATTCCTTTAGCACATGGCCAAGGATTACCAATCTCCTAGCCGACAAACCTTCTCTTCATGACAGATGCTGTACATAAACTCGGGATAAACTCTCATAACGAGGCTATAGAGTGGAGGTTTTGTCAGAAAAAAAAAATCATGGAATCTGACTTGATTTGAACCCGGGACCCCGGGATGGAAGACGAGCATCTATACCACTCCACTCATGACAGGGGACACAGATAATTAGGAAGCAAATAAGAATAACGTCGATGTTAAACGAACTCGGGCAATAATTACCATTATGCTCGAATTAGCGCCGCTTTCGAATAAGCGCCGCACCAATCCTGATTTTATTTTTCGCTAAGCGCCGCTCTCGAATAAGCGCCGCGGTGCTTAATCAATAGTATATTATATTACCCATAAACGTTTATTTACGATGACGTAGTACCTATGATAGGCCTATTGAAAGCGACACGCAATATTTTTTATATTATTTATAAGTGCCGCACTAAAGCCTCCAAAATGTTATAAGCGCCGCGGCACTTATTTGAGCATTTACGACGGTAAGCTACATTTACACTAAACACGTTACAAAAATGGGTTCTGTGTTGAAGATGATATAAAGGCTTATATAGGCCTACGGCGCGATGGTCACGTACAGTACCGTAGTTGTCGTGTCGTCTAGTGCAAATGTAGTTTTACACAATGTAATGAAAGCATGGGGATACATCGGGGATTTTCCAGTGTGTTAACCCAAAATAATAGGTATGTGTCTCATGAATGCAACACGACTTGCAATCAATTTGTTTCGTTTATCACAAACTGAATTAAATATTATAAAATCAAGCATATACAAAGGCATAGTAGCTACATTAACGAAGACGACATATATGAGTCTAAATATTTCTCAAACATCATGACATCGATTAAATCCTTATTGTAATTTTATCATTACTTTGTAGGCATATTGTGATCAGTGGTGGCGCAAGCGGAATGGGGGTGGGGGTGCCAGGGGAATTCCCGTCGGCCAACTTGAACCACCAGTCGTCCGACGCCACGACGAGTTCCGTTGGACTAAATTTAATATTAATTTGCCTATTCAAACCGTTAGGCCTATTGTGGTCTAAAAGCACAATTTTGGGTCATAGGCCTACTAAGCCATAAAAACTGTCCCCACGTACCGGGAGTTTTTATTCCAGGACCGTGATCGAGGATCTAGTCGGCCCCTTTGTTCCGGAACCCGTTGTCGGACATGTTGGAACCCTAGTCGGCAAATTTCTGGAACCACTACTGATTGTGATTAATGTGTAGGCCTATATACTCGATAAATAATTAAATTCTGTGTAAATTACATTTAGGGCCACAAAAATGGGAATAATTCGGCAGACGACGTAACGTAAAAGCCTTAACATGCCGCCTCTCGATAAATTTTCTCATTTCATAAATTACGCATGCGCATTTGGTAATATATTACCAAATGCGCATGCGTAATTTACTTTAAACGTTCCTTACGTCCATCGAACGGAACATCGTATAACCTCAAATACAAAAAGACGGAGCTATAGAGATGAATGGTAGGTAAAACATTCAAGCTAACGTTTACGTCGTCCGCCGAATGTTAGCGAGCATGCGTGTGCACAAAAGCTACTTACTGATAATATTTCTGTCGTTTTGTCTTCCTTGTGATCAATCTATTAAACAATCCGAGCGAATAAAAAACCCGACTTAATAGCTCCTAAGCAACACCTCCCTGTGACATTATGAGATCGCTGTCTATTTATAAGCTGGTAGTTTAATAATATTTTGAGCATATTTTCCGGCTCACGTGACTTGCTCTATGCTTACTATGCAGCGTCAGACGACATAGTAGTTTACCAGCAACTTTCTGATCTAACAGGCATATTTACCCGCATACAAATTATTATGAGTTGCCACAAAGAAAGAGGTAGTCTATTATAGTATGACAATTGGACCGGACCAATGGGGCTGTCCTGAGTTCAACAGTAGGCCTACTCTTTCTGGTGTTTTAATTGTTTAGCACCTTTAAGACTGTTTTCTTATTGATCTTTCGTTGGGATAGGTCTGCTCATGAATTGTATTCAGTGTTTCGGTTTCTACAACAAAGTAATAGAAATGATTGGCACTGGGTTTATGCCCGCAATATAGGCCTTTGTTGATATGTTGTTTACATGGATGGAAGAGAACCTTCGAAAAGGTTAAAACTGATATTTGTATACCTCCATGATGTGATATAATATTCGATGTTCAAAACACTATCTATGTTTCATCATAAAAATAATAATGAATTCTATAGGCCAGTTTATTGTCAAATTGTTCACATAAGCCTACATTACGTTTTATAGTTTGTTTTTGTTTCTCTGTATACTTTATATATGACCGAATTTCAAAATGTATGTAAACATCTGAAATGTATGCCTAGTAGTGCCACATAAAATAATTGTTGAAATGGTGGTGCTAAATGGGGAGGGGGCGACGACTTAGTTGAAGTGGGGAATCGATGATTAAGTGAGGGGAAGCACTCCCTAAATACGTTATTGTAGTTTAATATGATCAGGAACGAGCTTATTGGAATAAAACTACAGTGCACTGGCGCGTACGCTTTCTTTCCTAATATAGCTTGGGTTCGCATGGAATTCTGATACAAATTTAGCTGCGATTACGCAATACAGTAGGCAAAACATTCTAGAGACTTAGCCTATGGTTCGTAAGCAAATTGCACTTTCAATGTGCACCAGACCAAATGGAAACAGTACAGTATATTTCTATTAACAATGACATAATTACACTATATGCATACCATGAACACACCGAATAGAAGCCCCATGGGCTTTATCTCGAGAGAAGCCCATCTCAAAAAGAATTCCACATTTGAAAAATGTCGTTTAGTAGAAATTCCAAAATTTAGAGCATTGATTTTGAAAAGCCTCATTTAAGAGGCCCATCTCGAAAGGAAGCCCCCCCCCCCCCCTAACCCAATGGTCTCAGGAAAAGAAGAAGCCAGGGGGATTCTGTTCGAGGTTTTAGTGGTATTTGCTCGAAAATGACAAATTCAAGAGAATATGATATTGCTTGATTCAGAGTTGGTTTATTTTGACTAGCTTTAATTGCTGAGGCGATTTTGATACTATACAATATGTACAACAAATCAAAAGTGCTGGTACCACCAACTAACAAATTAATGTTTTATTATACCTTTATTAATATTCCAGAAATAGTTTGTTTATATCACACATCATGATTAAACATAGAAATTAGAAAAGTAACCACCTTTCACTATTCAAGTTCTCATGAATAATATCCATCTAACATTACGTAAGCATTTTCAGCACTGCAATTTATTCGTGATTGGAAGCAACACAGCGTGTAATGACACATTAGCCTTGTTTACACAGCAGATCACCGTGATGATCTCGTTTATCCGTTGACATAGGTGTTAAGTGCCCGTGTAAATGGTATTAGTAACTCTGCACAACGGATCAGTAACTGCGATGATCAACAGAGTTACCTCTGCATCGCAGCGGTGTTAAGAGATCATCAGCATGATCTTATGCAAGTTAGCTGTTGTTTGACCTATGTGAGTCATCGCTGCAAATCGCTGTTGATAAACAGCGTGAATACAATTATTATTATTTGAAAAATAATTATGTTTTTATCAATTACATACATTTTTAAACTTTGTTGACAAAGGGTTTCAAAACAAGCAGTAATGCGTGCATTTTTGCAGGTCAGTTCTAATCACTGTTAATACAGATGATTTCTTTTTATCGTGTAGACGCTCGACTGGAGATCATCAGTGTTACTTATCTGATAGCAAACGAACGCGTAAACATGGCTATTGGTGGTTAAAATACACTGTTTGGACATTTTCTAAAGTTGATAAGGACAATGACCTTAACATTTCATTACAATTAGTTTTACTAAATCGAATACATAATACTAAAGTTTATTATTCATAATTAATTTTAATTTAGTAATTATACACATTAAAGTACTGTAATGAATCGATTATTTACACTTAAAAAAATATATATACATTTTTAATCCTCATTATTTTACATACAGTAATTATTAATGCAGGAAATTCAATAACTCTAAATACTAACAAATATCTAATACAAGGTTCGTGTACTCTGACACTAATTAAAATTCACAATATTAAATGTAGTTTTTTACAAAAATATGACACCATACCGGTAATACAGCCATAAAATATTACTGTAAAGTACTGTAATTAATTTGTAATTTTAATATCTATCTAATTTATGAGTTTACAGCATATTAGTAAGACCTAATAATAATACTGTGTATATATATATATATATATATATATATATAGTATATAAATCAATAAATCATCAAAGAAAGGTAGTGTTCGAATAAAGGACATTATAATACATCATAGCTCTCAACGAATGTAGTCCTACAAATAAATGAATAAAGAAATGTTGTAATAAAGTGCCTCTGACGGCATTCAAACCTGCGACCTCTGGCTGTCAAGGCGAGCGTCATAACCATTAGACCACAGAGGCTTCATGGTTAACCAGATTCAACATTAAACAAATAGATAAAATAATAGGAACAAAATATGTTTTAATCGTTTTCAAACGTACAATTATAAATTTATTTGTCTATATCTTTATATTTGTGTTCACGGTGCTATGCAAGCAAACGATTTGATAAATGAGCTTAAATAATCTGCTTACGCCAATGTTAATTCTTTTGTATCAAGAAATTTTTAAAGTTAAAATTGATAATTATCAATCCTAGTCAATAAGCCGGTCACTCACTGCGAATACAAGTCCGCTCCATGTGAGCATTAGACAAGACAACACTGGCTGTTAATTGCCGCCAGCAGTCTGAACGGATCGTCATTAAAATGATCTGTTGCACGCATCGTGGAAATCTCAATGGAATCGCATCGGCCAACGACCGTCAAGCGCAGGGAGTGACCGCCTTTAAAGATATCAACATTCATCACATGCATTTTCTATGATTTAACTACGTTTCAATGACAGTGGGAATTAGGAATAGTGAAAAGGACAACATGCACTTTGATTACCACTGTTAGTATTACTGTCATTATGTAAGGAATGACATATATATTGCTGTAGGGATAGATAATTTAAGATGAGCTCACAGTGTAATCTGTCAGCGGACACATTCTAAGTTCACTTATACAATCTGCAAAAGTAAAAAGAAAGTAAGAGGTTGATTATTAAAAAATTGTTACTGCACATTATGTGATTTGATTGTAAACATAGTGAAGCATAAGAACCATGATTGAATGAAAGAAGCATACGATATCTTTTAGGTTTTAAGTTTAATTAAAATATTATAGAGAAAATGTATGACATGTATAAAGTATAAATATATGAGTACATTTTCAATACTATGTATCTAATAAATGTAAGTTTGTAAATTCAAAACATTCAATACTGGCTTAACTTAAGATTACCTGTGTATAGTCGATTTTTCTGGATACCTATGGCTGTCTCTTATACACATCTAGATGTGTATAAGAGACAGCATCTGTAATGTGACATTGTATTATATATATATATTATATATATATATATATATTATTTATATATATATATATATTTTTTTTTTTATTGTCTACTTATTTTTTTCTTTTTTTTAAATATCAAATTTAAGTGAATCAACCAGACCCAGATACACATAAACTTACCAAACACCCATTTTTCATCTACAGTTTTCAGATTGGTTCTTGTTTGAGTTTTGCCGATCCCTAAGCGCGCAACACGGGCACTACTGCAGACACTGCCTCCGCACCATTCAAATAACTCCTGGATTCTATCAGTAGGAGCAATGGTGTCGTCACCTATGAATACTGGACTGAAGGATGAGAACAAGTCTCTCTTGTATGTCCCTTCACTTGCGCAATGTTCTAGTCTTGAAAGCTGAAATACAAATTCAGTTTCTAAAATTAACAATGAATCATCCTGAACTATATTATCATGATTAAACAAACCTAAAACATACTTCTTTCAACTAACAGTTCTTAGACTCTGTTTATACTGTACTATCAATTTTTTAGTGACAAATCACAGTTGTCACTTAAAATTTGATAGTGTGTGGACAGCACTTTAAGCTTTGTTCACACTGTAAAATTGTATGTGACAAATAAATGTGATATGCCCATATTTGGGTGTAATATGACATCATCATGCCCATATATGGCCTCATTATGTAAATTTGCCACATAACGTGGTAGTGTAGACAGATAATTCTGTTCCGCTTACAATTAAAATATTAAATTAAAACAATGAAAAATATGGAAATAAGGAGGTTGCCACTCTGGCTTTGAAGAAACAGCAAAGAACAATAATGCCACAGGAGCATATCATGTGAGAGAGGTCAACTGACCTTTGACGTTTGACAAACTGACCTGTGCTGCTGGGAAGATTTCATGCTGTTCAAATGGTTCTTCTGGTAACCAGGCACCTTCTTCCAATGATTTAAAAATCTGCCAGAAATAAAATTATAACAGGAATCAATCAATTAATGAATCCATCAAGGCAACAGTTGGTTGTCTTTGTTTCAAGTAAAAATGCAATAGTCATATGGTGGGATTTATAGGAAATATGAGCGAGAATTAACAGTGCCCAAAAGGCTTAAGTTGGCTGTTTACGAAATGAAGACAAGAACAAATTTAATATAATCAATAAAAAATCAAATTACAGGGAAAAAAGTATGCAGCACATGAAGAAGTTGTAAGGTGAGAAAAAGAATGAAAATGATGCATTTTTTCTTTTGTAACACATGTAATGTAATTTAGCTTGATCTATATAGCGCTTTATACCAAAACGGTCTCAAAGCGCTCAAGGTGTGGACCAGCTCATACAGGAACTTGCTTTTCCCCTAAGGATCTCTTCATGTCTGAGCTACCAGTAAACCGTACCCAGTTACTTTCGTCTGTCCACAACAGGAGCTGTATAGACCACTATACTGGATAACCCCTCCTCGTCTCGAAAGACGTACTGGGTTCTAAATGCACACAAGCCAAACTTGTATACACTGGGCCCTACGGTTTACAGTCCTTATCCGAGAAGACTTGTTCCACCACCAGAACCATAGGCAAGCATGCCATTCGAACCAGATATTATGGCCATACGTTGCGGCGCCCTTTCCTTAACCGTTCGACCATCCAACTCGCCTATTGTACTGTATTTAGATATGGTATTCGATATCATGATTGATTACTCACCCACTCAGTAGATAACAACCAACATCCCCTGGCAATGGCTGATAGTACATTAAGTGTTCTCCTATGCCGGCCTAGAATCACATGTGTTGTGGAATCACACACTGTATCTGCAATCTCAAACTGGCCAAGTTTACTGATGATAGAAATCACAATCCCTTGATCACTAAAAGTTGGGGGGGGGGGTGTAAACAAAGATCAAGTTAATATGTGTACAGTACTACTGACTTTAATCACTGCAAATTCTATAATTTTTATTCAAGAATCAGAACTAGTGTTGTGTTTTTGCAGCTCTGAATAATTATCCATAAATAAATCGCAAGTGTACTCTAAATAATTCCTAACAGCATGGTTATTACATCACATTACATTGTGGTTTATCAGTTAAATATGTGGCTTTTTATTTGATAATTACATTTCTTTAAATTTTCTGCAAAAGCAGAATAGTATCAAGTTACTCAATGGATGAGAATAAGAAAAAAACAGTAAAATAAAACTGAAATAAAATTGTTACTTAAAGACTGTACATACCTTTGACTTAAACTTGTCATACACAGGGTTCTCTTAGGCTGAGGGGAACAATTTGAGTCAACTATGTAAGTGTAAGTATTTTTAAAAAGATAAATACTTTAAATTGTGCAACCTGTCTTTAGTATTAGCACAGATAACTATAGGTTTCCATGATTTAACTCATCTACAGTATTTAGCAATGCATCTTCGTGTTATAACAAAATGTTCACATATTCTGTATACCTTTCTTGTATTTGTTACCATATATAGAAAGGTTACCTACTTAACTTTTTTTCAGAAATTACCGTTCTTACCTTTTCATTACTTGATTTTCTAACTATCACTTTTTTCATTTCTATTGCAACCTCTTTTCTTTCCTCTTCATTTTCTTCTGATGATGTAATCGATTCAGAAGACGAGGACACCCATGTAGGGTTCTCAGTTTTCTTGGATTTGTTATGCTTATGTCTTCTTTTGAAGCTGAACTCTTCTAGACTGCTTCGTAAGCCTTGCACAGGTATAACTGAAGTATCTGTTTGTGTTTTAAACAAAAATAACAGTCACGTACACAGAAAAATAAACTTTAACGATGACAAAAGAACACAGGGGTCCCAAGTTTCCCACAAGCCACAGGAGAGCCCCCGGAAATCAAGACAGGCTCCTGCACTCATGCAACTGGAAAAGAAACTCCCAAAAAATAACCCATATTTTACTGCTGTAAACCCCTTTATTATCATTTGTCTCATGGAAGTCAGTGTTACAGTAATTGGTATCACAATATGCAGTAAAAGAAAATCTGATGTGCTAAGAAACTTTGTTTAAACAGATCTCTCGGAAATCACTTCTTCCAAATTTGGACGACCCCTGCAAATATTTAATTTAATCTAATAAAAAGGAAAACCGAAATTGTTCACTTTACTGTTTGTATTTTTCTGCTTTTCCAACAATTTTCTTTTCTTCTTTGCTTTGCCTTTGTTCTTCTGAAGTTGTTCCGAGCCACTATCTGCTGAATCTGAAGTTGAAGATTTAGAAGGTTCCAATAAATGTACAGGGGGTGTTCCAAAATTATTTACAGCCAATAATCTCCTTTTCTTTCTCTTCTTAATATTTTCATTTTCTGATGAATTACTGCCGCTGGTAGCATTCACTGTACCAACTTTTTCCATTACTTTTTTCCCTTGATTTAATTTCGTTGTGGTAACAGAACGCTTTCGTTTACGTGTTGTTTCATCAGTGTGGATTTGCATTTTAGGTTCTTCACTACCCTCCTGTTTGCCAGCATTTATACTAGAGGAAGAAACTACCCCTCTTAATGAAATGGGAGCTCCTTCTAATCTTTTTGCAGAATGGGCTTTCTTTGGTTTGTTTTTGGGTGTTGTGTTTTCTGAGGAAAATTCAAAGACATCATATGCAGACTTTCTGCTAAACACTGGTGATGAGTTCCTAGCTGATTTTGACATATGTTCTATTTCAGCTGGAGATTCCTCATCAAAGAATTGTGCCACTGGTTCCTTCATAACAAGAGATCGCCTTGATGATCTACGTGTTCCCATTGCCATTTTTACTCCTACAGACGTATCCAATGTTTTCCTACGTTTTGAACTTGTTGCTGATTGTTTCTTAAAAGATCTCTTTCCAGATTCTATCTCTATGACCTTATCATTGTCAGAACTAGAACCAACTCTCTGACACACCTGTGCTCTTGCCAAGATTGATTTTTCTGGTGAGCTCCTACCGATATCACTGACATCCTCTGAGGAAGTAGTGAGGCTAAAGAGCCTCTTATGGAGCGGTATTGACCTCTCACCATGTACTGGCGACTCTAATATTTCTGTGAAAGATTCAAAAGGATTATTAAATAATATTATAGCAAATCAATAATTCGTTAAAAATAAAAATTATATTAAAAAGCATTTTATTTTCACTTGTTCACTGACAAACTATTCTATTTTACTATCTTTCATAACGCCATTTCAATATTTCTACTACAATATCAATGAATTAAATACTATTTAATTGTACATCAGCCTAAACAAACAAGGAAACTGATATTTTGTAAAACATCTCAGGCTTAAAGACAATGTCCTTTTAGCCCGCGAGCGGAAAGACAGCTCTGAAGACTTCAACATTTTCCTATTACATTCACAAATACCTTTACCCAGCACCTAGAAGTCATGACTCACAATATTGAGGAAGACTTCTTAGTAATTTTTGAGGCAAATCCTGACATTGACATTGAACCCAGATATCACACAGAATGCACAAATCTATGGTAGGCTCTATCTCATTATTAAAAAAAAAAAAAATTAAATTTCATATGCTTACCATGTGTTCCCAACTTCTTTGCCCTATCTAGAGCTTCTAAAGCACATCGCATGCTGTTCGGTGTGTCATCAGCAAGACTTGGGGTTAGCCTTGGCTAAAAGAAAATAACATAAGAATAAAAACAATATAACAGACATGCCAACCCTACAAGGTCAACTAGAGGAGTCTGAAAAACTTTTGAGAGGAGTTTTGGCAATGTCAGTAGATTATGTTAAATTTTTCCTAAGATATATGGTACCAATGTGATCGAGTATTATCGACGTTTAAATGGCATTTTGACTCACAATGACGCTTTACATCAGCAATACTTCCGTGCGAGACTAGGCTCTAGGCAACATCGCACAGACCACAACAAGCATAGGCATCACCTACGCCTAATTTTGATTTCAAAATGACAGGGATACTTCTTGTTATAACTTGCACGGAATGTCTGCGTGTGTTTTAGCTTCTTTTTCGGAGGAAGCTCAACGCTACTACTAGTTTTCACAAGACTGCCTAGGTCTACATCCACATCGCTCTCATTGACTCCACTTTGGTACTTTTGGTTTACTAGACTGTTGTTGTTACGAAATCAGTAGACCATAGAGAGCTATACAGTCCAGAGAGCAGTGCAACTGGGTAAGAGATTTGGCCAATGAAGTTTGTTTTTTTTAAATTAGATTAGACTGTGGAGCGCTAAATACTTTTTCGTATAGAGCTAGTTCAGTGTGCAACTCTGACAGCACTATGGCCAATGAAATTGTTTTTTTTCCTAAATCTGTAAACCGTGGGAAACAAATTAGTTATCCGTATAGAGTACAGAGCGCTGTTTAGGACGAAATTAACTGGTCTTGTTCTTATCTAAATCATATGATTTTATTATTTGAAAATGTCAGCCGGCCGTAATGTGTAAAAAGCAGAGATTTTCGACAAAAAATCTGAGTGCGGGGTTTTGCTTAAATAAACGGAGCAACTCCGCTAAAATTGGAGTGGTTGGCATGTCTGTAATAACAATAATAAGCTTTTGGTACTACAGTAGTATCAAATAGAAATCAAAACTATATCAGCTAATCCAGCAGGTGTCCATATCAATTTCCTACATTTTCAATTATCTTTCTGTAACTATGGTAATCAGTACTTACTGAACTGTATGGACTTTGGGGATGACAGCCAAAAACATAGGGCCTTTGCATGAAGCCTAATAAGAAAAATCATAATTTTAAATTAGAAGATGCTTTCTTTTGATTTGCAAACAATTAATACTTGAATCCACTCTACAACATAAAATTATGTTTAATAATGATGCCTGTTGCTACCTGCTTCATTAGCCATTATCTCTGCCTTCTTTTTCTGCCTCTTGGCAAACTTCTCAGCACTCTTTTTAACCTGATCTTCTATCTGTTTGGGCTGCATTGACTTTAACCTCTGCCACGAAAAAGTAAACATAACACCACATTATCACATTAGTCTTTGAAATATCATTGATTAATTTATGACAAATAAAAAGCATCTGTCTTTGAAAATTTGTAGCATTCTCTGAAGGGAGTGTAGCATAGCTCAGTCGGCTAAACTGGTAGTAGCCACTGTGTGGGCACTGAACAGTATCCATAACCATGCTCCCCAGTTCAATTCTCAACACAGCTCCTTTTGTGCTTTAGTTTAAAGGCTGGAATTCAAGTATAATATAGCAACACACTATTTCAAAAGAGATGTTTTAACTCTTGATTCCACATGGAAGGTAAAGAATGCAGTACTGTACACTTTAAAAAAAAAGAATAGGGATTGTCTCTCTGGTGTACTTCCAATTCACCTCCAGGAGAATACCACTGGAAATATGTCTCCAGCTTTTCTTGGGTTATCATTGCATTACAACACATTATATACAAATATTTTGTAACTGAACAGATGCTCATTTAGTTGCTTACCTTAAGGCGGCCAATAATCGGTGAGCCAATGTCACCTGTTTTGACTTGAAACAAGGACTCTGCAACCTGTTCTTGATTTTCTCTACAACTGGAATGTAATAATATTAAATGCAGAACAAGTTTTATTTATAATGTAAACAATAGTTACTATTGAAGGTTCAAATGTCGGTGTCAGGCTCCTAGCCTATTATTCCACCTAAGACATGACACTGTCAACAAGTTATTACTACTAAACTCATTTGTGTTAAATTTATATAATCAATTAATAGCCTAATTATAATTACACAGACCAACTGTTTACAGTGGCATAACAAACGTCTGAGGCTCCTGGCTAAGGCTTATTCTGATCTCACTACTCTGGGGGCTGGGGTCGGTATGGTACGAAGCCCTCGTCCGTTGTGGTGTTTTCGACAAGTTAAAAAGTGCACATATTTTTTTAGCCCACTCTAGTAAATAAGGAGCCAAACATGATCCTGGCAAAAAAAACCCAAAAAACACACCATTAATTTTCCAGGGCCCTTAAGTTCTGACAGCTCTAGAGGTTAGGACACTGTCTGTTTACAGCACTTTTGTTAGTAGATATTGTAGATTTGCATCAATTAAAGCCTTGCATCATGGAAACTGATATTTAACGTAAATGGAAGCAATGTACCACAAACCTGTCAACCCATAGTACCGATACTACGTGTTTCCCCCACTTAAGTGCACGCTCATGTGTACTAGGCTTGCCATCCTTCCAAATCACATGTGTTACTTCTTTAGTCAACCTAGTAGAAACCTGAAATAGTAAGGAATTTTGTCAAATAGATTGTCATACATTATGGTACATATATTTAATATCTATATTTCCTCTACATTTCTTCTCTGAACATATACCAACGCATGCAAAAAAAAAAGAAAACTCACACTTGGCAAGGGCAATAAAAAGTATTTCACCATTACTCGCCTTCTAATATTTTCCCGCCAATTTATTAGACATACCATTTTGATAATATATGACTAGATAAAATTTCAAAAAAGTATGTTTGTACATGTGTACCTGTTATGAAACATTGGAAGGAACCTAAAAATAAGGTCTGGCAGTCAACGTGTAATTTGCTAATTATCTACTGTAGTATAGAAACATGTTTTTGATGTGTTGAATGATTCCAGGTACATAGTGTGGGTTAATATGCTACTCGTCTCCTTTACATTTGGTTGTGTCACAAAATATTCTAGAAATCAACACTTCCCCCCCCCCCCATCAACATCCGTACTTTACCTTTGCTCCAAGAATTTCAAGTTGTTTAGCAACGCCCTTTGAACGATTCTCAAATCCACACCTTACTTCAACATAAGCAATTACATCTAGTGAACAAAAAAAAGTTGTATATCATTAAAATCTAAGTGGGTAGTTACACTGTGAATATATAGGTAGTTATGCTATTGTACAATGTAACTGCACTACTACAATTATTTGCAGTCACTAACTTGTACTGTACATTTCAGATCAAAAAGACATTTTAAGAAGTATTTTAGAGCTAAACCTAATGACTATTTCTCATAATTATTTTGGCTAAATATTTCACTATTGAGTTAAAACAACTACCTTTCAAGACCCTATCATCCACAATCTGTGTTGCTGGTAAGAAATTTTCTTCATTTTCATCCATGATTGGAAAATGTCCGAGTTTGTAGGCTTTACTGTAATAAATAAGGTTAAATACAAAACAAGATCAATGACTTGGTCTACCATAGGCCACTCTATGGTAGTTGGGATTAAAGCATATTCCTCTTGGTCATCTTTGTACCCAACTCAACTGCTATCCGTGTGTTGTATATTAAAACTTATACACTTATATATTTTTGTAAATTTGTAACTTAAATTAAACAACTTCACAAAGAATGGTAATCAAGACTGGGCTGTTTGTTACGGTTTACTTTGTTTGGCGAGACTTTTTTTTTTCCTTGTTTCGGGAACTTATTTTTTAAAAAGATCATCGGAGGAGGGCGCAATAAAAATAAAAATAAAATTTGTTTTCTTTATTTAGCAAGTAGTTTTACCAAAAACATCAAAATTGAGGAGAAAATAAAATTTTATTGGTGAATGTAAAATAGGATGGTTAAATGCTTCAAATTTATATAATTTATAGAAGAAATATACATAGGCCTATCTTATCTTTGGCGACTTTAAGGCAGCGGAGGGTGTAATAAAAAAAAAGAAAAACTTAAAAGTGTAATTTTTTCTGAATTTCCCACTTTTCCATGGAGACGGGTGCACTACTAGGCCTAATTGGCCAAAAAAAAATTTTATTTTTATTCGAAATCATCAATATTTGCAGTCGGCGGGTTCGCTAAACAATGTATAAAAAAGTGACACCTTACATTGAAATTTTGGTACATTCTACTAGGCCTAGCCAAACCCACCAACCTCTCTTCGGCCAAGTTTACTCCTTTCCTGGCCTTGGCGAACAGTACCTCTGGCAGTCTGGGCCTAGGCCCTAGGCCTAGCTAGCCTAGGCCTATGGCTTAGAAAGCGAGCGGCCTGTATTATTTCATCCATTACAATGGTAGGAGGGCATTAATAATTATAGCGTCGTTTCACAAAATAAGAAAATAGTTAATAATAACAATAATAAGGAAAGTGTAGAAAACTTAATACTTACTACAAACTCTCGCTACTCAGTTCTCTCTTGGTTCTCTTCAAGTCCAATCTTGTCGTTTTTAAATCTCAGCGCCAATAAATTGAGGGCGCTCAACCCAAAAAGTGAAGGGCTTGATCGATCGATCGAGTGTTGATCGATCGATCGACTGATAGATTGATTATTCTGTAAAAATTATATAGATGCACAAGCTGATTTTTATTGAGGCTATGGGGCCTACATGCTTAGACCCTCAATTTACGCATTTATGCGTGAATTCTCAGATATTTAAAGATTTTTTTCTATACTTTCAATTGGGAAAATGAAAACGGACTACACGCATACCTCTGTAACTAGACTGGTGTATTATACAATATTAACTAAAGAAAGACTTTTCTATACCTTGCTTGCGAACTTATTTTTTAAAAGATGGTCAGAGGTGGGCGAAAAAAAAAAAAATAAAATTTTTAATGTAGCAAAGAGTTTTGCAAAGAACATCCATACGGAGGAGAAAACAAAAATAAAATTAAATTGATGAATGTAAACAATGTGTAATAATGGGATGGTTAAATGCTTTAAATTTATACGATTAAGATGGAAATATACATATATCTTATTTTTGTGGAATTCAAGGAAGCGACCGACTGAGGCGTAATAAAAATAATAACTTTAATTTTTTTCTGAAATTTCACGGTGGCGGGTTCTCTAATTGGCAAAAAATAAAATAGTATTTTTAATTCGAAATCATAATTATTGACGGGCGGCGGGTTCGCTAATAAGGTATAAAAAATAATAAAAAGACTCTCCTTAGTTGCATAAAGTTAAAATATGGAGGTCTGTCTCAGCTGTCGAAGATATAAATAATCCTATTTATTAACATTTTACACCTTCACAATCCTGCCCGGTAAATGCATTTCAGTAACCAAGACATCAAATACCCGTAGTAAATACAACATTTTCGTAGCACCTAATACATTGTTGAGTGCAAAATATGGGTTGCTAAAGTTACAAGTACTGGATAATAACAGCTGATGAATTTCAAAGAGACGGAACAGGATGAAGATTTACAGGCCACTTTTTCTAAGTTTTCACAATAATGTATAAGTAATCGGACAAGTATGCGTTGTCTAGGGACAATGTAACCACATATCCTGATGGAAAGTAATTTGTTCCGGACTTTTGACCTAATGTATTTATGTGTCTACGTCTATGATAAATTTCCGTAGTACTTTTGTCTATTTCCATACGTCCGTAGTAAAGCAAAATTTCCGTAGTATGTACTTAAAAGTCTGATGGGGTAAAATTCTTGGATGGGTAATTCCTGACTCCCTTGGTTCCAACCATCTGATGTTTTAAGTACTAACGTAAATGATAAATTTGTATTTTTATAATGTAAAGCAATGATAAACAATATCCCATTTTATTATACTTAATACTATATATTATATTATGTATATATATATATATATATTGTAGCAGATTGGTGTTCATTCTATCACCTCTCCTGTCAGCAGATTTCTGGAACTACTACAGGCACACATATCACTGCAGAGGAAGGGCTGTGTTGTTAAAAAATATAATCTTTTTGTAGATAATATTTGTTGGTGCAAAATTTTTCAAGTGTTAAATTTTAAGCAATTAAGATTCAAAGCACTACTGTACATAGTATTGATAAAGACTGAAATAATGAGATTAAATTTGATAATGAAAATAAAATTTATAATTATTAACTCATTATATAGTATTTAAAACATATATATACATATATGTATATATATATATATACATACATATATATTATATATATATATATGATATATATATATATATATATATATATATATAGTATTTTTAGTAGTTAATATATGGTACAATAAATATTTCTGAGGCAAACACACAAACTTTGGTTTATTTACCATATCTATTTGAATAAATGCCCATCCAGAGCCTCATTTTGAATAAACAGCTCCCTCAAATAAACGCCCCAAATGTATGTTTTTTCCTCGAAAAATAGCCCCCTCTAAATGACAGCAAGGAAAACTAATGGAAGCAACATCACTCTAAACACATTCTACAGTATTAATATTCTACACTGTCAGTAGAAATACATTTTTTTCTAAAATGGTTGGGATCAATACATCTTTATGATCATGCAGTAACACATTTTGACGGTAATTATGTGTTGAAGTTCCACATTTACAGAGAAATTCAGCTGCGTTTATTGGAGTATAATACATATGCATTTTACACCAAGAAAATAAACGCCTCCCTTGAACCCTAAAAAATCCTTCCCAACAATACACCCCGGGCCCTGGGTAATAAATACGGTATACAGTATTTGTTTATTTATTTTATAATTATTAATTATTATAATTAATCAATAATTAATTATGTATATACCACGAATATAATTGTTTTAACTTAAGACACAATGACTGAAACAATATTCTATATTGGTGTATCAATCCAGCACTTTTAATTTACACTTGTAAGTAAACCAAATCCTATTCCAATGGCAAAATATTGTGGAAATGACAATCCATGGATTTGTTTAATGTCTTCAAGCAGCTATAATGAGTTCATTATTAATATTCTTTCACATAATAAATTTAGAAACTTTAAGTAAAGACAGGGAGTTGTAAGTAGATAGGAGAATTGGTAAACATTCTCGTACATAAACCAATCCATCACTGTGGTTCCAGTTTCTTTTTTTTTTTTCAGTGGCAAATCATGAGTATCATGGAATTAACAAGTCTGGTATTCTGCATGTCTGTCGAAAAACTAAAGTTGCCTGTTAGATTCACTATTTGAGAGCTGGAAGTAAAACACACCAACATATAACTCTGATAATTTCTGGTTTCATTTTAAAGTTCATTCTGATTTCATTTGACCACGTACAATAATTGTAAAAACAGCAACACAGCTATAAATGTAGAGATACGATTAGAAGAAAATAGCGTTCACATCTGCCGGCTACTGTATAGGGTCGCGTTTTGTCAACTTAAAAAAGTGACCGCATTCACACCTCTGTGGTTCACCGCTGTAAAGGTTAAACCAATTAACGTGGGTCATTTCTTCTTCACCTGCAATGTGAAAAAAAAAATTTTGTCAGATTTATAATAATTAACAACTAATGAAATCTTCATTTTATTTATCTAAGTTTTGTTTAATTGTATATATTTATATATACAGTTTAACTGTATTTATTTTATATTTTAACTGGTTATACTCATTGCAATGAATTTGTAGTTTGCTTTCTGGGTATATTTCATTTTTACTTTGCAATGAGAAAGGTGGTATAGATCAACATTATTATTCAGGCCAGACCTTTTTATACTGTACCTTGTTTTGCTAATTTTTTTTTTTTTTTTTTAAGAGCGCAAAAAACCAATTTTGTTTTCTTATTTAGCAAATAGTTTTACTAAAAATATCCAGACGGAGAATAAAAAAAAATGTAATGCGATGGTTAGATGCTTTAAATTAATATAATTAATATTATTATAGTACACATCTTATGGGGAATTCAAGGCCCCAAAAGGCATAATAAAAATAAACACTTTCATTTTTTTCCCCTAAAATTCAATTTTTTAAAATATAGTTAATTGACCAAAATTAACATTTAAAAAAAATTCAATATCATGATTATTGGCGGGCGATGGGTTAACTAAACAAGGTATAAAAAAGTATGTATGTATCAGACACGCAAGCAAGCAAGCCTGAACAAAATGAAAATAATATTATAACCACAATGTAAACTCAAACATGCTATATTATGTAGGCATTAACATTAATTAGCTGAATGTTATGCAAATTTAATTAGGGTACTACAGTACTATAAGTATGCATACACAGTTTCCACTTCCCAGAAATGTCTTTATGGATGTCATAATTTGCAAGTCTATTGTGCTAAAAGTGTTTATAATCACCAGGACCTGACATTATGAGGCAATAACTGCAAAGCTGTATAAATAATGTAAAATTATAGAGTGGAATATGAAAAAAATGAGAAAGTATAAAGAAAAATATGAAAAGTATGAAGATATAATTAAGCTTAAAGATATCGCAACAGATATTTACTTATTTTGTAAACACCTTTTCTCAATTTTGACTTCCATGAAAATAGAGCGGAATAGACAAGTACTTACAGATACAGCCTACAACTCTTTTTTCAAAAACTGATGGAACTTCAATGGGGGCATCCCTTGTACCGGGTGAACAATGCTTTACTTGCAAATCAAAAGGATCCTGTAAAGATATAATTTACATTTAAGCGAAAAAATACAATATAATAAGTATAAGTAATAAGTAAGTACTAAATAAGTTCTTATAAGTATATTTTGATTTTAATTTTTTTACTGTATTGATGAATTCTCAAACAGGGTAAGGCCCTTATTTTGAGAATTTCAAAAGGAAAGTTTTAAATAGCTTATTATAAAAAAAAAGTTAAAATCATATATTTTAATTATTGTAAAATGATTGTCTGTATAATTATTATCCCATGCAACATCTTGAGTAAGACATTCCCTTAATATTCCATTAATAAACTCCCACAAACAAACTGCTCATTTTCATTGCATCCCATCATTTTGAACAGTCCCTCCATTACAACATAATTTGTACCCTAATCAATTCCATAATTCAGGACATTAAATCTTAATTTTCATCAACCTCAAGCACATTACTTATTTTACTGTATTTTTTTTTTCTTTTGTTTAAGTTGTTTATCTTCTTTCAGTTTCTCATCAGCAAAATTATGAAAATATTTCAAAATTCTTTTTCAGAAATTGTGATTTACTAGTACTATAGGCAAAAATTATCATGGAGTATGCTCATTCTGGTTGGCATTTAAGGGACTTTCTCACTTTTGTTGTCTCAAAAAAAAAAAAAAATCATGAACAAAGGAACATTAACTTACAGGGTTTCCTGCTCTTATTGCTTCCAGTTCTTTCTTCTCAAGACCAGTGGCATGGTCAAAAGTGTCAGCAATTCCTGAAAAGATTAAACAAATACACAATGATGTTAAACAGAGTCACCATCATCATGGAAAACCCAGGGAATGCGAATATTGTACTGTATAATTGTTGTATGTTCATTGTTGTTAGTATGTTCATTGAATCTCTCTTGTTCATGTGATTGGAATATGTTTTACTGTATAACTGAAACTTCAAGTGCTCCACATTAACAAATCTTGAACAACTAATTAAATGTGAAAATAATTTCACATATACATTTCAAGGAACATATTGTAATGTTGTTTATGTATAATCAACATTGCTGGGCTTTGTAATTAAAGTTTACCAAGAAAATCTTGCCTGACTTGAATTTTGGCATATTTAAATGGTATACTGTAATAACATTAGGCCATGTAAAAAAAATAATTGGTTAGCATCCCCTCCCCACTATCAGAGAGGCCACCGACCCGATTTTTTTTTTACAAAACTCTCCAACTCCTTTTAATATAGGTTTGTTTACCACCCGTCCGCACGCCAGCCAGACCACTTGCAATTTTATGCTCTACTTTTGTTCTATACTGTAGCCACATGGCATCATCTATGATGCCTGTTGTGTTGGTTGGAGTGAATTGTGCGTGATTATATAGAGATAATTACATTATGACTGTTATTCATAGGTAAAGTTTCTGCTTTCTATAGATGAATTACATAATTTTCTTGCATGCAATTTTAGTCTCTATTGTTTTCTTATTTGTTTTGCTGTTTTCCCTTGTGACACTCTTTTTTCATGTTCGACTTCAGAAAAAAAACCAAAAAAAAAACCTCCCTCCCTACTATGAAAATTGATAACATAAGGATACTAACCAATTTTTTAATTTTACATTGGCCTTCTTGATGAGCAATTACTACTAATTATTACTAGTTGCTACTAGCTCACTATCAGGCACAATCAAGCACATTTGCATTTTATGTTTTCAGTAAATTTAATTTAAAAATCACTAAAAAAACCCCCCATGGACCCAGTCATTGGGGACATCATGACATGAGCCCCATTAGTGGAGCTGAAGTGGGGGTCCTATTATTGGGGAACAATGGAATTAGATGTGTGTTTTCTTAAAAGTAATAGCGTAGGTAAAGGCAAATTTCATATTTAGGAAATTTTAGTTTCTTCTCGTATTTGTAAATGCAAGAAATGTACCATAAAATACAAGGAACGAGTGTAGACTAGGCCTTCTTAGTCACCGTTCAGCAACCTATGGGTCTCAACCCAATATTTGGGTGGCGGAAAAATTTTGTTGGGTTGCATAATCTCTTCAGATTGTGAAAACTTTACTTAATACAAATGAGGACGAACAAAATCAAATTACAGTAAACGAAAGTGCATGTTAAAGTGTGGCATGTGCTTCAGTGTACTTTTGTAATGCGTGCATTAATCAGAGTTTCATGTTAAAAATATACTATCAAAGCATTTGTACTTCAGGTAATGACAACTCGAAAGTAATATTTTTGTTAATTTCAATGTGTTTGGCTTGCAGCTGAAAATTTTAACGAAGAAAACATTTTTCAATTTTGTTTCGAATTAACAATTTAAATGTGTTTATGTCTTTGCATAACCCATACATATCTGGCATCAAGTTAAGGAATTTATAATAAAATTTCTGTAAATCATTAATTAAAAAAAAAATTGAAATAAAAAAAATTTGATAACTTGCATGGTTTGGTTAAATGAGTAATTCAAAGTAATATGTTATCATTTTTAGGCATCTTAAATTGATGTTGTGGGTGATACTGGCTTTTAATTGACTGGCAAAAGAATCAAGCGGGTGGTTCCTTTGATACCCGCTCTTGCGTGTATAATATAAAGCGGCTGATATGAAAAAAAATAACAAAAACAGATACTTAGCTTGAGTTAAAATAACTGAGTATTTCTATGTCAATTGTTCTTAAGGGCACATAGAAAAAAATATTAGATTATCGAGAGGCCTACCATCACCAGACCAGCCTAAGTTCTAGCTAGGCCTAGCTCTAGGCTAGCCTAGGTCTATCTATTATTATATAGCCTAGCCTAGCTAGCTAGGTAGGGCCTACACAGACAGCAGTAGCAAGGCCAGATAGGGCCTAGCTAGGGCGCAAGTTAGGAGGTAGGCCTAGGCATATAGGCTCATATTCATAAGGCACTAAGTTTGTTAGCATACCTACTTTTACTTTAGGCCTCTACACATAGCGCCCAGGGCGAAAAAATGCTGTCTTTCTAGGACCGCCTGCCTACAGATAGCTAAAGCCGGGCTGAAGAGGTTTCTCCTCTTCCACACACGACACATCCAGGTGTGTGAGTGAGACGAGCCGGTACATTTTGAAAAATTTACACAAGTAAAAAATAGTAATACACTAAATGTAATTCATACAACTATTCAATACCTCCTCCCTCTCTTGCAGCAGCCATGCATCGCACAACTGGCCTAGAAATAACTCTTTTAACATGAAGAAAAGCAGCCGTTCTTAGTGCGAGGGACGCCATTTTGAAATTTGCCTTACTAAAAAAATAAGATGGCTACAATTACCCATATTGCACTGCGAATATTTTACATACCGCCCTCACAAATTATTAATAAGTTACTGAAAACTTTTAATTGCTATACCTCCTTGCTGTGTCCATGCTCAAAATATTAATATTATTTATTAAATTAGTGGGACTACTATTGGTGGATGTCAAAACTTTCATACACAACGATAGGCCTACAAGAAAGTATAATACACACTTCATTGAAATGCACGCCATCGTGTTGGGATTCAATATTTCGACATTAACTACGTCATCATCAGGAATATAAGCCTACAAGTGACAGATCTTTGATGACAGTCAAACAACATTTTTGCTTTAGTTATAGGTTTAACAAAACAAATGAATTTATCATTTTTTTCAAATCACATAAAGTCATCAATTTTCAAAAGTCACATATAATTTTTTTATTTATTTACAGAAAAAATGTGAAGGGCCACTTTGGGGAAGTACTAGTAAAAATATCACTTTTGAGATTGATGTTCTATATATACTTCTAACGTCGGTAGGCCACGACAGGATCCATCAGTCTGTTTACGTAGGAAGAAGTTAGTCTAAATTCATCAACAAACGTACAAATTTGCGATCAACTCAATCTGCCTCCACAACACATCTTGTCAGAAGAATACCTCGTAAGCGTATTGGCGATGATTCTTTCCCATCTGTAGCGGCTCGACTGTAGAAAGTCATGTCTCCTTCCATTAAAAACTTTCACTCTGCCAGACAGTTTGAAGGCAAGCCTCAAAACCTATCTGTTCAACTGAGTTTTTTGTGTGTTGGGCTGGGTTGGTAGGCCTACTTTTGCACTTTTAATTTTTTTTTTCTTTAGCCTCTATTACATTTGATTCATAAAAAGCATAGGCCACTACTCTGTTGGTTTTGGTTGGGATGGGCACTTGTGGGAAATATTGATCACAGTGGAGGGTAGTTACTGTCTCTTATACACATCTAGATGTGTATAAGAGACAGATTTCAGGGCGTCAATGCGGAACACGAAAAGCACGCTGAAGAGGGAGTCCAAAGCCATCTCGACATGACCGTGATGGCGGTAGCGCGGTTAAACGCCGAGTTGTCCGGAGCCGTTAGCAAAGTCGCCGAACTGAAAAGTCAGATGGTATGCTCTCCCAGTTTCCACAACAAAACAGTGGCATTTATAAAGTATTATTACGCATATTTTACATTATAAGTGACCTATTTGGCGTTTCATAGAAAAGGTATTTTCATTTCTTAATATCTACACTGTAAAAACAGTATGATGTTGTAGACTTATCATTTAAAGCGTGTAATATTTTATTTAGTTAAAATATTTTATATGAATAAAAACAAAATGAGGCTAAAAGAATAATACAATCGACCCTGAATATGAACACCGAATGAAGTTGTGTTGCGATAACTACGATGTCTCTACGATAAACATGGCTGACCATGGATATTACAATCAACGGTATGGCTATGCGTGCACGTTGTAAATTGTAGGTTAGAACTCTCCTTATCGAAATTGCAATAATATATAGCCTCCTACATTTAGATTTAAAAAAAAAGAAAATATGAGACTATAATGTTTATTTCTGTTTTTTTTTTTAGATTTAATATTTTTTTACATTTTAGACAAAAACTAGATAAAATCAAATTTGACAATGATCAAAAGTTACTCAAAAATAGATTATTTAATCTAAGTACTAGGCCTATATATACATTTTAACCACATATCTATGTTGTCATAATGTGTTAAAACAGTTTCGATTTATTCGTTTAAACCTATGACTAATTTTCCAATGTCCAGCATCGGTAAGAAAGTGAAACTGATATTTTATAATTGTAATTATGATAATTTATACTAACATTGGTAATAATGGCAATAAAAATAATACAATAATGAATAATTTGTATATTAAACTTATATAGTTTTGTATTAAATAGTTAATTAATATAAATTATATAAATTAAATTTATTATTTATAAAAAAATATACTAATAATAATAAAATCAATATTAAAAATAATAACAACAATCAGTGGCCGATCCAGGAATTCGAAATAAAGGGGCCCAGAAAGTCAATAATAGTACAGATGGCGGGTCTAGGCCACCTCCACTCCACTGTAGTTAGGGCTGAGGTAGAAATATTGTCTACGAAATGTCAATGGTACTTCTAGATGGTCGGAAATGGCATTCTCAGGCCAGAAATGTGAATTTAACTTACCCACCCTTATGGTTTTGAGATGGTAAATAAAAATATATTTGTTGTTTTTGCTCCTGGTGACGATTATTTAAAGTACCATACAATTCGTCGGAAAATTAAGGTGTAATAATAAACATTAAAAAACAAAATTTAGTGTAATTAATCAATCACAATCAATCGCCGGTACTTCTATAGCGCCAAAATCCACCGCACAAACGATGATGTTTGATGGCGCTGATAACATTGGCAAACTCAACAGGGTGAAAATTGAAGTTTTAAATAATAAAATTCTTAAAATAAATGAATATGTTTCAATGCTTTTAATCCATAGTATTTAAATGGCCATATTATTATGCGTAATTATTACTTTTCCAAGTGCTCAGTAAAATTACAATAATACGTGACATACATAATAAATGAATACGGATATAATTATTATGAGCACAAATAAACAGGTTGAGATGGATACAAATAATCATATTAATTGATATTGTTTATTATTATTATTATTATTATAAATATACAATAATTTAGTAATATAATTAATATACTACAGCAAAAAAAAATTATTCTGGTAAGAGAGATAGATGTAGGAAAAAACATTGTGGGGATAGGAGCAAATATAAGATGGCCCATACAGTGGTGGTGCCCGGTACGGAATCGGGAGCCAAGGCCAACGTTGGGAAGAAACTGCCTTCCCCCGTCAGGGAGAGAAACACATTTCGTCGGAAATCGATCAAATAAGCATTTTAAATCCCTAACCCTTCTCACTTATGCTATCGTCCGGGGAAATCGACCATCCAATCGGAGGGATTTCCTCTGTTCGTTAGGGACATCTAACTGTTCGTCGGGCAAATCCTGGCGCCTCCACACTGTATTCATTAGTTCGGGAGTATATCCATATAAAAGTTAGATTTAGGCTGTGATAGACCAATGTACGGGGCTTGAATCTCATCATAGATGTTTTCTGAAAGCCCTTGATGAACTTTTACATCAGGCTTCATATATTCATCGGACGGCTTTTCGTAGTCATTCGAGTAGTTAGATTGTTTACTTGGCTTTGGCTTTACTTTTGGTGCCGTGCTCTTCGTTATACGTGCGTCATAATGAGCGTTGACCGGAGGATCACTGTAATTATAGATAAAAATCATTCTGGTGATTATAGCGTAGGTTCCAACTAATGTTCATGATAATAATACTGTAAATAATCGAATATAGCATTTCTCTAGAATAATCTCCGATCTCAAACAAACATGGTCACATCATTACTATAACCTGCCGCGTTCTAAATGCTCCTCATGAGAACGGTGACAAATCTTGAATTAACGACTAGTTACCGTGATCGTGGTTGCATTAGAACGCAGCACCGATAGTCACTGCTTCCTACGACCGTCATACAACGAATCCAACTCCGCTACCGGTGACGGCGCAACGCCGTCTATTGGTTGTCGGTGGCAGCCTGAGCTAATCGCTGATCGTCATTAAAACCGATCCGTTGCGCGCGCGTCGTCTTGTTGCGTTCTATAAAGCTTGGTTTCCATACAATCGCTACACGCTTTCGCCGACAGTTTTCGATGATTGTGCTGTTGGTCAGACGAATCAGGAAGCCTTCTCAATGACGTCGGGGACTGCTACGTAGTTTGTATGGAAACCAAGCTTTAAAGAATCGCGTCGGATGACGATCATCGGGCGCAGTGAGTACCCGGCTTTAAATATAATTATTAGGTGGGGCGTAAAGAAAGCTGTGCTTGGAGGCAGTGAGTACCCAGCTTTAAATAGAATTATCAGGCGGGCGTAAAGAAAGCTGTGATTGGAGGCAGTGAGTACCCGGCTTAAAATAGAATTATTAGGCGGGGCGTAAAAAAAGCTGTGATTGGAGGCAGTGAGTACCCGGCTTAAAATAGAATTATTAGGCGGGGCGTAAAGAAAGCTGTGCTTGGAGGCAGTGAGTACCCAGCTTTAAATAGAATTATTAGGTGGGGCGTAAAGAAAGCTGTGATTGGAGGCAGTGAGTACCCAGCTTTAAATAGAAATATTAGGCGGGGCGTAAAAAAAGCTGTGATTGGAGGCAGTGAGTACCCGGCTTAAAATAGAATTATTAGGCGGGGCGTAAAGAAAGCTGTGCTTGGAGGCAGTGAGTACCCAGCTTTAAATAGAATTATTAGGCGGGGCGTAAAGAAAGCTGTGATTGGAGGAGAAAGATGTACCGTATAGTTGTTTTCGTCTGTTGCAGTTTGGAATTTTTTTAGATATCGTAATCTGGCATGTGTGTGGATTTTGAAAGAGTGCAAATCATGATTGGGTGGCTGGGTGATGCAAATATATTATAATGTTTGGATGGTGCGATTGTCATAGCGGTGGTTGTTGACGATGTTTAGCGTAACGCACTAGTGGGGTTTACTTGTGACTCATTAGTACGGATAGAACTTACCGAAGCTCATAAGCTTGATTTTCAACTCCAGCTAAAGATGGCTTTGGCGAACTAAACAAAGAAAAGAGAGATTGTTAAGTAAAAAGTTGTCAAACAAGTACTGTATATAATTTACATATTAAAACCAATCTCCTACAAACACTGAGCACAAATTTCCCTAGAGAGAGAAAGGTGCTAGCCTACATAAACGAAAGCGTTTCATTTGAGGCGAAGACAAGACAAACCAGTCATCCCTGCTATAACAACTTCAAAAATATTATTCAATTTGAATTGCTAATGTTAAGAACTTTTCCATTAAGCAGAACAAGATAATATTTTGCTGACGAAATCATACACACTATTGTTACTATGCCTATATTATTTTCATAGACCTCCCCAGTGGCGGATCCAGGAATTCGAAATACAGGGGGCCTAGGGTTACAAGTTTCCCCTTTCCTCCATTTTATTTACAATTTTTAAAAATTTATGGAGGCCGGGTCGGCTCGATACCCCCGTGAATCCGCCACTGCTCCCATTTACTATAATTGGATATATTATATATGGATTTGTAGTAAAACGCGTGTAAATAAGTGAAAACTGTGTTCTTTCAATCTGTGTTTCTTTGGACGTTGATAGCTACTGTAAATGTGTAACCACAAAAATACACAGGCCTAGGCATACTGACTTACCTGTGTTTATTACGTAAAATGCAAACTAAAGCTATGGTTGCAATAATTAAAACCAATGCAGCACCACCAACACCAGCAATGATACCTGCAAAACAATAGAAAAAAAATAATTATAATTATTGAAATAAATTTTGAGATTATTGCATTGTCAATACACTTATAAAGTAACCAGATATTAGCAAATAATAAGATGTGATTAAAGCACATAGGCCAAAGAGATGTTCATGTATAATAAATTTTTAAAAAAATGCATAGATCTATTTAGTTACTGAATACGTACCTATTTGCAGATCCGATGACGTCTGTGGCTCTCGACTAGTAACAACAGATGCATGAGTTGTCGGTTCGTCAATAACTCTTGTTGTCTGCATCAAATTGGTGTTGACATTTTCAACTAAAATGACATGTAAATTACCTCGGATATTATGGGTTTTACATTATATGTGCAGTTTGCTTTGATTGGTTAGAATTGCTATGCAGATGCTTTCAAATCAAATGTCTATTGACGTTATTTACTTTAAATAATAATTTGTTAAAGTTTTGGTGTTAATGTTTAAAAAACAATCGCGTGTCAGTGCTCACACACTGAAATAAGCAATGTATCGCTTCTTTTAGTTATGTATTGTATTGGGAGTACAGTAGTTATTGTATATTGTGTGTGTTATAAAACAGATAGGCCTAGAGATAACATTTGGTACAAATATAAGCCAATCATAAAACAGATTTACATTCGTCACAGTTGCTGCCAATCCAGCCCGTTTCACAGATACACGTATATTCACCGATTGAGTTGTCAATGCAAGCCACTGCGTTCACACATGGGTTGTTCTCGCATGCAATTTCTGAAAAGAATAACCAGTTATTTTGAAAATATAAATTAAGTAGCCTCGACATGAGTAAAACGATATTATTTCTAATGATATATATATATATATATATATATATATATATATATATAGTGTATATACATATATGCGGGGTAAAACACCAAACTGTTCACAGTTCCAATTCGACTTTCCTTGCATCTTCTTTGTTTTATTCATAACACATAAAACATTGTTTCGATCTCTTATCATTGGAAATAAGGAAGTAATACTTATTTGATCATTAAAAATAAGCTATTAAATGTTTCATATACACGGGGTTTTCTATATTCTGATAGATGTATCTTCAAGAAATGTACCTGTTTGACAATCGTGACCCTCAAATTCCGCAGGGCATGTGCATTCGTAATCACCATAAGGTCCAATATCTTGACAGCTGCCTCCATTTAAACATGGTGCCGCAACACATCCGATGGTGGCTGCAAAGAGAAGTAATGTCAGTTGACTATATATTATACGATACCTACAGGTTACCATACTAAACGAAAGTTAAACGTCAATGATGATGATTATTATAAGCGCTCGAAGAAGAACTGTTTCATAGATCTACAGTATTGTAAATTTAATTAACACATAGGAGAAGTGAGGACACGGTTTTATTGATTTAATTTGATTTATTGACACTAAGTTTACTATGACAAAAGCTAATACTACGTACATGTTTCGCAATTGACACCGGTCCAAAAATCTTCACAGGAGCAAAAATACCCTTCACTTGACAGCTCCAGGCATTCTCCATGTAGGCAAGGACTACTTGAACATTCCAAATCCACGTTAACTTCTACATGAGTGATAAGAAGAACACAAAAAACAGTTCATCAGTTTCATCATAATTTACAAGATTTTGATTCCAGATTTTATTTCTGCCTGATTGATACATAATAATATAAATAGATATCAATACTATGTAGCATTCTAAAAGTTGATAATTTGTAAAAGAGATAGCCTAATATGCAGGCAGACATTAGTTCGTTTTGGTTATTTATTTATTTATTTATTTATGTTATATATGTTTGTACCCCTTTATGACTTCCAAGTCTGTACAGCTTACCTTCTTCACAAAGATCTCCAGTCCATCCATCATTACAATAACAAAAATAAATGTTATCGTTTGGAAATATTAAACAGTATCCGTTTTGACATGGGTTACTACTGCAGGCTGTTTCGACTACAAACAAGAACACATAAACGCATAGTAAACACATAATATTCATATACCTCTGGATTAAAGGTGTCTGTCAAAAAAAATCGGAAAATACCTAAAAATTCTATAATTACTTGTTTTAAGCTTTGATTATTTTGGTAAAATAAATGTTACTTTTCCATGTTTGGCATATCACAGTGCTTGATCAAAAATCAAGCATTAACTGCAATAACGCAAACAATATTCTTCTCTGCCAACTTACCAATTTCACAGTTGCCACCTGAGTATCCTGTCATACAGTTACATGTATATCCCCCAGCATCAATATCGATACAATCACCGTTGTTCAAGCATGGGTATAGGTTGCAGCCATTTCGTTCTAAAATTATTTATTTATAATTAATAATCATATATTAATACACATTATCAATATCAATGTTAAAGCAAAAGTCAGTAGTACCAAATTCAATAATTATACCATATCACTAGCGTACTGTTAAAATTTTGTTATGATTTTTTTTAATTTTCTTTGGGCAGTCTTACGATATATTATGTTATTCGTATTTTTTTTTTAATGTTAAGTTTTGACGAATTGGTAAGATGTGCTGATTTGGTACTTTTTAAAGAGTACGCTAACATTACCACAATAATATGAAGAAAATCTAAATCATGATCTTTCAACTATCGAATATTCGCGTAGACTAACCTGTCTCACAATGTGTTCCAATCCAAGCATATAAACAATCACATTTGTAATCACCATTATCCGATATGCTTTCGCACAACCCACCATTCAAACACGGATCCAAACCACAACCCACGATCTCTACCATATTCAAACAAAAGTAAAATTATTAGGCTGTGGAAACATTCGGCAAGAATTCACAAAAGCGATGCATTACAGCACAAAACAGCACAGTCAACCATTGTTTAAAGTAGATGTATATTTCAAAAGAATTCAAGCTTTCTAAATCAAAATAAATATTCAAAACAAACCGTAGGTCTATCGCCTATTTCTACCCTCTTGTTTTACGCCTACACATTTGAAGATGTTCAATAGATCCATATTATTATTATTATTATTATTATTATTATTATTATTATTATTATTATTATTATTATTATTATTATTATTATTATTATTATTATTATTATTATTATTATTATTATTATTATTATTATTATTATTATCATTATTATTATTTTTATCATTATTATTATTATTATTATTAATTAGATGTAAAAAAATTAGATTAAAAAAATTGATATGGCGATAACATAAATGCTATCTAGCATTGGCATATCAACATAATAAAATAAAACACGATAAATATGCCTTTTGTTTATTTAGTCTCCATGTTTCAGTAAATATGTAAAAACCATCACCGAATCGGCAGTGGATTTTTTTTCTCCAAAACAGTGGATCTAAGGTGCTGGCCTCATGAATGTAAGAATATGGAGCATTAAACTCACCTTCGTCACACACATCACCACTCCAGCCCTCGTAGCATGCACAGTGATAATCATAGGACGATGTTCCAAGGTAACAGTAACCGTTTACGCAAGGATTATTATCGCATGCAGTTAATTCTGAAATATATGTTTTTATAACTCGTTGTTACAATGATTCATTATAATACAAGATAATTTACAGTGAATATAAAATATGCAGTGGCGAAACTACTGCAGGTTCACCGAACCTGGGCCCCCGAGCTCCAGGGGCCCCTGATCTACAAGGGCCCCGCCCCTTACACAAAATCTAATAAGGCAATGTGTACATAGGTTGATAATACTTGTCTTTACATAACACTGCACATTATAATTTAGAATTGTTAAAAATAATCACTTATACATGCCTAACACAGTGGCGTAACTAACACAGGTTCTGGTGGTTTATTGAACCTGTGTCTCTGATCTCCAAGGGTTCCCTATCTTTAGGGGCCCATCCTTATATAAACAACATCTAATAAAGCAATGCATAGAAAAATCTTGATTGATAATATTTATCTTTATACTTAATACTGAACTTTATAATTTAAGATTGTTAATAACTTTAAAATAATCAATTATACATGCCCAAGCGCCTAGTTTTAAAATTGTCGCTCGAACGCCGACATAATAATGATGGAAGCCACAATGAAACAGATCGTCATTTTGTATGCATTAAATTCTGACCAATAAACTGACCTTCCCTTTCCCTCTAATATAAGGACTAATGTAAAGACTTTACCGCTGATGTTTGTTGGGCAGGGGCGGATTTGTATGTGGGTGGGGGAGGGGGAGACTGGGCCGTCAAAAGTAAAAAAAGTCTGAAGTCCACCCCCATCCACCATATAAAAAAAAAAGCTAAACATCTGATTTTAGTGCTATATTAGCTATAACTTTCACCCTGTCAATCTGTCGTCTATCTACGAACAATTGACTTATCAAGTAATCGGTAAAGACCTACCAAAAGCAAACATATCACATGAGACATAATGATGGTATTTAAAACTTAATACTATTCAATTCATAGTACATTTCCATAGCGAGAAAATCAAGTTGTTAATGTCTCAAGCCGAATTAATTCGACAAAATAAAATCGTCTGTCTTTTACTCAAAGTTTAGAAGATAATAGATTAAGATTTACTGTAGTTTATTTTCGTATGTATATTTTACTGTATTGTGGGGCCACTTGGAAGAGCAGAGTTTTTCACTGAGAGGATTCCTCTACTCACAGAAAGTAGAAATAAACTACCATGTAGAATATGATACTTGTTATTACATTGGTACTTTTATTTCCATGAGTAACCTAGACTCGGGAATAGGCCTACTTAGCGTAACTTTAACATTATGCGTTACGACCAATATAACTGTATACGAACTCATAATTGATAGAAATGTAATGTTCACGTTAACAGTCGATAATTTAACAATTATGTTTCTATGGATTGGCTTAAATATATTTGACTTTTACACACTTACCGAATGAATGTAAGTCTGGATATTCGGTAAAAGAATATAAGTAAGACGAATCATCATCATCATTATCTAGTTCAATAAACAAAAAATACAGTTAGGAAAATCAAACCTTATAATGTTGACGACAATTCGAATGTGTGAGACAATGAAGTATAAGAATGTGTGGGTCACCCTTTAATTACCAGAAAGGATAGGTAGTAGGAGAAAGGTTCATTGGAGGAGTTAGACGTATAGTATCGTAATCATGAAAAAGGGCCAACTAACTGCATTTAAAAACTAGAGAAGTCATTCCATTGAGTGCATAGCTGCGACCTGCGCCTGAATACTGTACCAACAATAGGCCCTGTATGATGGGCGGAATTTCAGCACACCCTCAAGGTAAAAATAGAATCGCCCGCCGTATTCAGGCACATGTGTTTTTCAGTACTGCAGCGTACCCTCAAGAAAATAAATCGTTGCCACTAGGCCTACTACGATTTTAATGTTTTTCCATGATTATGACTTCATCTGATTTTATTTTTTCAAAATATGTTGTTATCGCATAACTGATAAATCTTTATCGAATCGTTCTAGTGTAAAAACTTCTCTTATTTTTATTTTCTATATGAACAATTGCTTTTTAGCTTTTTTGTCGTTATCGTTGAAGTATAAACAGGCCTTAAAACAAGTCGGTTCCTTAACTCCTTGTTCCATATTCAACGCATTATCTTTATGTAATGTTTTGTTGTATATATTGTACCATGGAGGTATATACCTCCATAATTGTACTATAGACTTTATGTAGGAACTTATATCTAACACGTCATTTATATTTATATGTTTGCATTTTTAATTTTTTTCATGCGATGTAATGTCCAAATGTAATTTCCTTTCGGACAATAGAGTTATCTTGTATCTTGCATCCCTTGACCTTTTCTTCTGAAAATTGAATGATGTCTTTCTTCGATTATTATGTTCCAATTCCACTAAATTTTATGATGATCCATTCATTAGTTTTTGCGTAATCTTGCTAACAGACAGACAGAAAGGGACAGAGAGCAGTGAATACAAACTCCTTCGGCGGAGGTAATAATAGGCGTAAAAAGTGTATTTTCTATTGTAACTTTTTATGTGATTTTTTATCATAATATATCATTAATAATAATAATAATAATAATAATAATAATAATAATAATAATAATAATAATAATAATAATTAATATAAAAATTCTTTTTTTAATTGACCACTGTGCATGTATGAAAAGTGTAATTTAATTTTTTTTGGATGAATAAAGAATCCTTTGACTTTGTCTTTGACTTTGACTTTATTTACAGTAAGAACAAACATCACAACTGACCTTCTGCACACACGACACCAGCGTCATTCGTGTGACTACATTGACCGTCGGTAACGTACTTAAAAGTACATGCACTCAAATAAGTTTCGTTACCCTCACACCGAAAGCTTTTAAAGTGTATTGAACCACTACCCACGCCGTAAAATCCATCTTTTTTGGCCTCGATTGCACCCTCGAATCCTAGCTGCCGACATACCACTTCTGCGTCGTAGATGTTCCATTTTTTGTCGCACACTGTACCCCATGTCCCTTCATAATATACTTCGACGCGGCCGCTGGAATCATCATATCCATCTTTTAAACGAACTGGGATATATTCTGGAAAATCATCTATAGTACAAATTAGTTGAAAGTTTTTATATGACATACTATTCCAATCTGCAGACAGTACCGTTTCGATCTTGTTAGATCTCATCAGTGCAGCTCAGCTATATGACATACTATACATTTTATCTAAACTGTAAGTGAATGCAACAAAATGCCTCAAATAGTAACTTATCCATCATCATCATCATCATCATCATAGGTATCAACAACAACATAATAATAATAATAATGATTAGGCCTATAGGTGTAATTTTGCCCTACCTGACGTGGAAATGTACCGAATACTCAGTACATTTGAAAACAGCTGCGAAAAAAATCGCAAGTTGTTCTCGGGTAGGACTCGAACCCACGATCTCCAGATCACTATCCCGGCATCATACCTCTAGACCATATGATGGCCAGGGTTGAATTCGAGTCCAAGTAAGCAGCGGGTACTGCAGTGTTGATAGTAATTGTTATTGTCTATTATTCCATCACGACAATAACAATTACTATATCAACACTGCAGTACCCGCCGCTTACTTGGACTCGAATTCAACCCTTGCCATCAGGCGCAAGCTCGGTGGTCGAGAGGTATGATGCCAGGCAAGTGATCTGAAGATCGTGGGTTCGAGTTCCACCTGAGAACAACTTGCTATTTTTTTCGCAGTTGTTTTCAAATGTACTGAGTATTCGGTACATTTTCAGGTCAGGTAGGGCAAAATTACACCTATACATGTTTCTCCTGACACAAATCCAGTTATTGTGTATTATTCCATCACGACAATAACAATTACTATCAATGATTAGGCCTATTGTCTCCTAGGTGAAGAGACAGTCAGCATGAGAGTATTACAAAATTGACCAGTATTATTTATACTAATATTATTATTACAGGTGGCCTATTATTATTATTATTATTATTATTATTATTATTATTATCATCATCATTATTGACTGACTGATGCAGAATTCAGTGATATACATTTTTATTTTAGACAATGTCAATATCAAACAAGGAATACAAAACAGATATGATTTAAATTGAGAATAAAAATAAACAATCAGCTTACACTGACACATTTTTCTGAGGCTTACATCAACTTGCAAATGCAAAAACAAGGAATAGGTATGACTATTTCAAGGGCGAAATGTAATTCATTAATATTAATACTAGTATTACTATTAACATGTAAGTTTTGAAATCAATACACCTACCTACATCATTGATACCATCACTGCATGCGATGCTAACAGCATCGTATGCATCACATCCTTGTTCATAGAGTCCTTCATGCCCGCAGTGAAGAAGGTTCGACTCCGTACCGTTACACTCCAGGTCAGAAATCCAGCTCCAGCATGAGCTAGATATTCTGTATCCCACTTTAAAGTCTATAGCCCACTGAAAGCCTAGCTGTTTACAAGCTACATTTGCATCATTCATATCAAAGCCATCCTTACACACAGAGCCCCAGAGTCCACGGTACATTATGCCAAGCAGTCCTGAATACCCGTCAACATCATCCCCAGTAAGACGCAACAGACCATCCTCTTTGAACCAAACATGTGATAATGGTTGACATAAGTTGTAGTAACAGTGATACACACTACCGTATGTTAATGCGTACTGCACTTAACCTACAATGTGTTTCTACAATTATATATTATCGTGATCATCCTCACGAACTTCACCACCATCACGAACATAGTCATTGTATCATGATAATCATCAAAACATCAACATTTTCATCAGCATTATAATTATTCTCATAATTTCAAAGAGTTATTCTGACCCCTTCATCATCATATCATCAGCATCATGAATATCATAAACATATCAGCATCTTCTTCCAACCGCCATCATTTTGATGCCATGTGTTCCTGATCATGTTATTGTTTACAGTATCTCTATTATAAAGAATGAAAAAGAAAAGAAAAAAAAGGGTAACATTCCTTCTTTGCATTGACTAACCTGGTGATATATCCTCTGTTTCACAAATTACTCCGGTGTCCTCACCATGTACACAATTATGGTTATAAATTCCATTATGTACGCAATCAAATATTGAATCCTCATTACCGTAGCATTCAACATCATCTAAATAGATATCACCTGTACCTTCGCCGTAATAAGCTTCACGTTTGACTCCAACAGCCCACGAATACCCCAATTGTCTAAAAGAGTAAACATATACAAGCATATGATAAATATAGAATTCAGAACCTTAAAAGACTATTGGAATAGCGCAATACCGTTACCGTTTCTAACTGTAGGTTTGAAGCTCTAACATCATCACTATCGTCGTCATCATCATCATCATCATCATCGCCATCATCGTCATCACCATAATCATCATTATCATCGTCATCATCATCATCGTCAGTGTTCTAAAAGTGTACGTTCAAATCTGTAGACTATGGTATTGATTGATCTTACTTGCAGACAACGTCAGCATCCGTTATTCCCCAGTCGTCGTCACAGACAGTTCCCCAACCACTCGAGTAGTAAATCTCAACTCGACCCTCATTAGACGAAGGCCCACCAACCAATCGAACGTCACCAAACTCAGGAGAATCTGTATTATTAGGAAATATTTTGAGAACAAATGTTTTCCTTAAATTGCATTAAAGTTCATAACAACAGTACATTTTTATAGTTGAGGAATTTGAAAACTTAATCCCAAACGTTTTTCTATTCCTTATACATGTATTTAGGATGCAATAAATTGTATAAAGTTTGTACCAATACAGTAGCCATATAAGTATTTTTATTACCTATCTAAAAAACGCTGCTAAAGAATAAATTGATGTCGTATCGGCCAGAAGGACAACGTGACAATAGATAATTTTGGTAAGAATACCGTAAGTTAGGAACCAAACAAACCAAGTAGATCCGAAGCAACGGTCCATGGTCTGCCTTTTATCTAGGAATTAAAAAAAAACTAAAGTCCTTCGTATACTATAAGTTCAACAAATACGCATATTTTCAGTATATTTATAAATAAACAAGGATGTTTAATTATACAACTAAAGGTATACATTGTTTGACAGGCTAGTAGGCATACCGTTACCAGTCCGAAGTTAGAGTAGAGCTGGATTGATGGTGGTTTGCTACCAATCAATTCTTGCCATCAATTCTGACTGTTACATTCAGAACTGTTTCTCACGACTCAAAATAACTCCACTCTTTAGCCTCATTATGATTATTAGTGTAAAACATAACTATGGGAGAGCATATTTCTATACTGACCAGGTTACCCATAAAGAAGAAATGATTGTATATTAAAATCAAGTTCCATGGACTTATCTAGTGGGTGATTTTATTAAAAAAACAAGTAGGCCTATACAAATTACAGTTATATTTTCATTCATGCTATTCATGATATTCATTCACAATATATATATCAACAGTTATATTACAATTTTATTGTACATTAGTATAGTAATGTTGTTATGGGACTATACAGTTTTTTTGTCATTTGTAAAACTGTTCGGGCATATTCGCAAAAAAAAAAAAATACATCCTACCAATAGGCACTATACTAATATAACCCACGTGTATTGTATCGGTACGGTAGTCAGGAGGAACTAGTTAGTAACGTATATGTTATCGAATACAAACATATATAAAAGCGATATGGTATAGCATTATTCTTTATTATATTAATACTTATTATTATTAGTATTTTATAAAAATATTTATGACTAAAAATTGGTATAAGTAAAAATGGAAAATTTTAATATCGTCATCACAACATTTTCAAAAATATAATAACACAACATTTTTAGAATGATGTCATTTGTTATACGGTTGACATAGGTCTTTCTATTCAATTGGAAATTATTACGAGTACTAGTTGCTCATACTAGTATTTAATTTAAGATTATTTGCAGTATAAAAATATATTAAATCAGAAAAGGAAATCATAATAACATTAGGCATACCTGTACTAATTGTATGATGCATGAGACTTCCAAATAATAATAAAATCCACATTAGTTTCATCGTTGGTTCTTAAAGATGTTGCGCGCCAAACAGGTTGTACAGTACTTTGTAACGTTATGTATGTAGACACGCCTCTATTTTATTATCTTCTGTGTCAACGCCTTTTATTTTCGGTGCGTGTGATATCAATCTTTTTTAAATATCAAATACTGTAATCCGTAGGCCTACAAAATTATATAAATACAATCATTCCCAATAGATGACTTGTCCAGTGACAGACCAACTGACTCCAAAGCTCAATCTCTTAAATGCGTCAATCAGTGAAGAACGGCAATCCTGGTCTACTGGGTGCTATTCCCTCGCTCCAATTTTCTATCCTTACTTCTGAGAATGAAGATGGTTTAAAATAAGTATATATCTGATTGTTATGATCTCTTTTTGTTTGATTCAAACGCAATCTGTGTTAAAAAAAAACGGTCAGTTGTTGTTCTTCACAGTTAAAATGTCTGAGCTCTTTTCTTTAGCAGAAACACGGTATTATACAATGTTTAAGCACTAACTAAAAATAAGAATAAATTGATGCACGCGTTGTTCATAAGCTAAACATCGGCTTAGGACTAACTGTACAAATCTACGGACGAATAACCCAGAAGAAAAGGTTTGAAACCTTGTCATACGTCAACCCTGCTTAGACAAAGACAAACAGCAACTAAACAAGTGGAAATACAGGTTATTCACTATTTAACTATGGGTTCAGAAACTCAAATTCGGCTGAGTCAGTGTGTAGGCAAGAAAGGCTGCGGATTTATTGTTTCTTCCATAGTAATTGTAATTGTTCAAAAATAAGTGGCTTAAATCAGGTGTATACGGATTACTAAATAAGGTATCACGATGCGATGACATCAATAAGTAGACAAATGTACACAAAACTTTTTCGGCGAAATTAATAATCCTTTATTCGAACAATATTGCTTGACAGTTTCTGTGATAAACTAACCACTCATCATTTTAAAGGAAAAGAATTAATAAATTCTTACACGAAAGAAAAGCCTCCGAATACAACAAGTTATGACCGTACGTGGGTCAATTTGTCTTTATAGAACTTATATAATCTGTAGATTTGTAAATAACTTTCTAAATATTTGTGCCAAAAATCGGTTTAAGTACACTGTGTAATTTCTTAGGCATGAAAATAAATACATGAAATTTAATGGACAAACAGCCGACCGCTCCGAGACTGATTATGTTTTCGTTTGTATCACATTCCCTTAACACGATACAGTTACAGCATATTTTCACAATTAAAATATATGTACACGTAAGAAATACTTCTTGTTTTAGTTTACTATTTTTATTTTGTTTCAATAAGCCATATCGGTATTTACTTCTGCCAACAATACACAATATGCTTGTCATAATTCAAATATTATACCGTACTTTATTGCAATGAAATTAAAGTTGAGAAGTACAACTGATGATAAACTCTACGTTAATTAAATGATTAATGCAGTACTTTCAGCAAAAGTATTGAGAATTAGTAACATCGGCAGAAATTTCTTCTGAGTAGGTCTACAATTATATTATATTTCACATGATTGGATAAATCTAAAGAGTAAGCCGAGTGTACGTTCTTGTAGTTTGAGAAGCAGTACAGGTGGAGTTGCGCTTCAGTACACCCAATGGTATCGGTGTTTTCGTGATTACAACATGTGATCTCAATGACTGCTTCTACACCATCGTCTCTATTTTGACCCTGGTGGATATATTTATATTATATAGCGCAATTGTATTCAAAGTATCGTTATCTGATAATGTATACATAATATTTCAATAAAAAGAAGGAATGCAGCTACGTATACTTTAAAATACTATAACGATCCTTTCAATAAAATTATATTACAATATATTAGAGTAGCCAGCCATTGTGGAATGACCCTCTTGAGTGTTACTGCTTATGTTACATATTTATGTTTAACTTTTAAATATTGGTAATGTATATTTGTCAGATAAACACAATAAAACAATTGAAAAAAGAAGAAATTAAATAAAAGTGGGTGAAATCTCGACAAAACCTGTCTCTTAT